ACTGCACTTCCTTCGATTGATTCGCCTGCATTAGCTGCTTGCTGGAGATGAAAGCTTCTACATCCACTCCGTCAATATGAACGTATTTCTTTTTTTTATACACTTAACGGTTTATTTTTTGTTGAACTCGTGTTTACATATTTCTCAGACCTATCTTAGTTCAGCATTGCCGCGTCCGGTTCGTTGCAGCCGGAAATGGCAGGTCAAAGGAGTAAAGGCTCTGTTATGCATACTTGGCATTGCTTGAGAGTAAGTAGCTAAGCTATTAAATTTATTTCAGCGTACCTATTAATTTGAAATCAAAATGCAGGAAGAAATCAAATTGGGTGTGTCTGCTTGTTTTTGTTTTTATTTTTATTTTTACTGATGTTTTTGCCCGGTGCCCCGCAGGAGGTTGTGGGCGCGCAATAGCAATGAGTTTTGTTTACGTTCTCTGCTGCTCTTAGCTGTGTTTATTTGCCTTTTGTTGACATTCGCAGCTGACTGCGTACACACTTATGCACAAACATACACGAAAGTTTATAATTTTTGTTTACCAATATTAGTTGCAATATTAGTTTTTGTTCACAGCGAAATCTACCTACTTGTTCGAATCGTAAGGTGCAAAATTTAAAACAAATTAAGTTACAGTTAAATAATCGCAAAACACCAGAACTACTCTAGCCGATAAGCGCATTAATAAATAATAGAAACAAGAGACCGAAATACTTGTTACGATTTTTTTTTTTTACTTTTTTTAATATTTTTATTTCCACCTCACTTAACACTTTCACGCTTTGCAGGCCACTTTTGCTTCATCAATTTAACACTTTTCGCATTTTGTTTTCAAACCTTTTTATCGCGCAGCTTTGTTCTCTTTAGCTCGCCTTTCAGATATATTTTTACTAGTGCTTTTTCTTGCTTATTCTTACCACTTAGCGCATATATGTGCATATACATACATATGTATATGCATATATTTTTTAACTACACCACAGAAACAACTTTGCTAAACTTCCCCAAACTTACACACTTTTATTTCCGCTTCTGCTAGTCGCGTAAGAATTTCAATTCAATTTCCGCAATTTCACTTATTCTGCACCGATTAACTCTTTCGATTTTTCTACACGCTACGAAAAAACGATTAATTAGCAGATAGCAGAGACCAGGCATTGAAGAAAAGAAACAAACACGCATCGATCAAAAACACTGCGACGCGGAGCAATCTGAACACTCCCATTCAATATTCTCCGGTGTCTAATTGAAAACTGAATTGAAGAAAGCAAGCAGACCGATTGGATGGCAAGAACTGATTAGGGTTAGTACTCCACTATGATCGTAGTACATTTATTGGGATTTTCGATAGTATTAAAAATTGACTTAACTTGTCCGCTTTATGCCAGATCTACTTAAACAGCGTTGGCACTACCAAAAATTATACACATTAATTGTCTTTTGCTTAACTTACGACACATTTACTCGTATTGAAGCAATGGTAAATCCCTTTTAATATGTGGTTTTAAAAATAATTACGAAGGAATTAACTTTCAACTGTAGTTTTACCTAAATGTAATATGCATACGTACATCTATTTATACATCTATATATGTATTTCTAAACAGCATTATTTTTTTTGGAAGAGTCACAACTCACATAATTTCTAACAGTTCCAACCATTAACGACAGTATAAGAGAATACATATATGGCGCAAGTTCGCTTAAGTATCACACTTATTTAAGATATAAGAGGATGACACTATGATCAAACCTTAATCAGGTTTCTTATTCTGGTCGAAAAATATGTGTCTTCTAGTTATAGCGAGGGACGAATAAAAAATAGAATACCAAATTTTATTATCTGTTACGATTTAGACCATATTTAGTTGGAACTAGACTTGCTGGAGTTCCAACCCTGCCGCGATTTCAACCCTGCATTAAAATCAGCTGATTGTCTGTTGTTGTCAGACAAATGTCAGGCTTATTATTTACAAATTGTGATTATTTAAGCGTGAGCTGTAGATGGCGCCCGTCGCAGTAAAATTGCCATATTCGAATTGCCTACATCTAGGCTGAGTCAAATGCTTATCTACTACAGATAAACTTTTCAGCCTCATCTGTGAGACATATTTCTCTTGCGGAAGCCGTTAATACAAAATTCTATTTGATATGTGTTACTGCCGTCCCTAAATTGGAGCGCTAAGCGTTGCGTTATCCATTG